AAGGTAATTTAGTTAAACTGACAGTCATAACTGGAAAATACTGCACCTAGTATATTAAACCATGACATATAGACGAAATATAATTGTTTTCTTTGTTACGCCTGATAATAAAGCTTATGATTTAATGTATTATAGAGCCATCCACAAGCAAAATAGAATGGTCTCAATTAGAACATGGAAAGAGGCTTGTGCAAGAGGTTAATGACAGTCCACCAGTGATGTCACAGCCTGATGACTATTGGTACGGTTACAGAGGAGATTTGAAGCCGAAGCAAGAAACGTCGTAAGTAGACACAGAAGATTTTGTTTATAAAAAAATAATTATTGATCATACATTTAAGGGGCTACTGGCGGATAATAACTAAGAAAATTGTTTCAGGCAATTTCTTTCAGATTTTCAATCTATTAACAATTTGTTATTTAATCCACCTCCACATTCAGAGAAGAAGAAAATTACTGAGCCTATAGAAGGTGAATTAAAATCTTTACTAAATTATTATTTAAAATGTTATAATTTTAAATATACCAGTGACTATACAAAATATTTTAGCTAGGATTTAATTACTCGTAATTTTCAAAGATGTAGATTTAAATCCTGACTGAGATTAAATAATTTATTTATTTAAATATATAAAGACATGTTTTAGGGCATTATAACAAAGCGACTATTTTAGGAGCAGAGAAACAAAAGAACTCAAATAAGATAATCGAAATTGAAGATGAAAATGTTGTAAATGAAGAGGCAAAAGCGAAACCTCCTATAGAAATAATGGATGCCGATGAAACAATAGAAGAAAACAAGACTGTTGATAGTGGCATAACTAAAGAAGGTACTATGCTAATAGATCATGATAGAAAAATTATTATAGATACAAAAGAAACGAATAAAAAAGAAAAAAATGAACTACTTTCTGTATCAGAAAAAGTAGATGAACCTAAAAGAAAGTTGAAAAAAGTTGAAATAAAAGAAATAAAATGTGATGTGTCACAATCGATTCCTACTATGAACAAATCCATGGATAGCGACAATCAAAACAAAAATGAGAAGAATGATGAGAAGAAAACAGAAAGAGCTGATGAGACAGATGACACTGTTAATAATATCGATACAAAGACTGAGGCAAGAAGATTAACTGGTGAGTTTTGGTAAAATTATTTTATCGTCAATAACAATGTGTAGTTACCGTGATATTTTGTATTATCTCAGCCCAGAGAAGTACAGGCGATGGTGTAGCCCTAATTAACTACATGCATAAAATGAATAGCAAAGAAGACTTAGAGGACGAAGATTTGCAACCTAGCGCCGAAGATTTAGAAATATTTGCAGAAATTGAAAAAGAACAAGAAGAGAGACAGGCCAGAATAGATCGAGGGGAACCACCTGTTGACCCTATGGTAAAACATCTTAATTATATGTCTGGTTAAAAATATAAAACTACTTTTGTGTAGTTTGAAACTAAGGAAAATGCCTAAAAAGTTCACCAACCCCAGATAGGTACTCCGAGGTGTAACAAGTGCTTGGAAAATTCGTCAGTCCTGTTGGGTCTCGGGTAGCTTAATGGTTAGAGCAGTTGCTCGGATTACGAACAGTTTGTGGGTTCCATCTCCGGGTACCTAGTGGATTTTTTAAGCATTTTTTATTAAAGCATGCTAAATGCAAAATAGATCAAATATTATAATAAGTTAATCGATATTTTTTATACGTTACATTTTAATCGCAGAAGCGTTATAACGGTAAAAAACGCAATCGCATAATTTATATATCGCTATTTTCATATCAGTCGACTTAATTCTAGCCACTGGCAAGTACAGTCGAAAGCACGACAGGTTATATCAATTGAGGAAATTTGTCATAGTGTGGTAACTTGATATGCAGTCGTGTGCGTTTCTTGCTCGTTCTTCTTCACGTTCAAAAGACGTCCAGAAAGTGTTGGACGAAATAAAAGTACTTGTAAGAAATCTACTTGGATACATAAAAAAATTAACTTCGACTTTGACACGCATGGGCACAATTCGAATAAACCTTGTAATATTCCGTTCCATTATCCGTTAATCCTAATTTTGTAAATGGAAGTAGTTAAATACCTTAGTTTTCAAATTTCATGTATTTTAAATTTGTTGAAAATAGAAATCAATTTCGTAATATTTGATATTTTGCTGATTTGCTGTTGTAAGTGATACTAATTGTATCTAGTATCTACCTAAATTGTAATTTTTTAGAAGCTTTATCATAAAAGTACGATGGAGGCATTCTACAAGGCTGAAGAGAGAGTGCCAGCGCACGAGGTTAAAGAGAAGACAATGTTTACTACTTACAAATACGACAACGCGTTTGACAGAGTGGCTCTGAGTCAGCTCACTGCTGGGGAGAAACCAGGTTCGTCATTCTTAGCTTCATCGTTGTCTGATCGTATTTCGTCTTTCCAGACCAGTCTTTCCCAAAGTGGGTGATAACGCCCCTTTGGGCGCTACAAGTCTAAAGAGGGGTAGTAAGAGACCGAGAAAAAAATGGGGGCATTGTGTATCGGGGCATTGGGGCAGGGTGGGTGATTTGTAATAACATTTAGCTAGGAAGCCTCTTAGACACCGACTGCATGAGCTCTCGACTCTCAACTACAACCTGTGAACATCAATTAATATTTGTTAAGAGATTGTTCAAACTTGGTTCGATAATTTTCTCCGCTTTGGTCACATATCTATCCTATCTTATTGAATACCTACATAAAATAAAAATCATGTCCGAAATAAAAGTAGACACAAGCAGTCAAATAAAAAGGCAACAGACATATTTCGCATTTTAAGTTAGTAATTTTCGTAGATACCTAGTAGACCGCGGGTAATCATTTTCTAACAAGTTTTTGTTAAATAACCCGAATTGTGCATACCTATATCAATCGGCTGGTTCAAATAATACTTGTTCTTACTTGTTGAGAACGATTAAGCGTCGAATGAGATAAACTAGTTTGTCCCTGTCCGTGCTTACTGCTTATGTAATCCTATATAAACAACGTAATATTTATTTTATTTTCATTTGCGGTTTCGTGCGAAGTAGATAAGCAGTACCTTCTTAAGTTCAACACTTACTTACGTATTTCACAAAACAATGTCGGAAGGAAAAAAGAAGAGGCAGCGATGCTGTGCGGAATATAGGTATTAAATTTGGATTCATTGAAAATGTCATAAACCTGTCGTCGCCTTTGTGCCTTCTATGTCTAAAAACAATATCGAATGAAGCCTTCAAGACTGCAAGATCATTTGAATAAAATGCATCCAGATAAGAAAGACAAGAATGTAGCATATTTTTTAAGACCTAGAGAAAAAGCACAATACTTAGCCAAGTGTAGCAAAATTTTCGGCGGTTGCTAAGCAAGATGACGCTAGACTTCGAGCTTCGTACAATATCTCTTTGCTAATTGCTCAAAAAGGCAAACCACATAACATCGGAGAAAAGTTAATTTTGCCAGCAATAAAGGAAGTAATAACTACTGTGCTTCACAAACTGGCCGCAGAGATTATTTAAAAATTCCTTTGAGTTATAATTCTGTGAAAAGACGAATTAATAAAATGGCTGATCACATTGAAGGATCATTGGCCAGAACAAGTTAATTCTCAATTCAACTTGATGAGTCCACTTTACCAAATAATGAAACATTGTTGCTGTATTACGTGAGGTTTATTAAAGATGAGAAAATTTGTGAAGAATTATTGTTTGCTCGAAATTTAGAGACCGATACAAAAGGCGAAAGCATATTTAATACATTGGAAAAGTTTTGTAATGAGAAAGAGATTCCCTTGAAAAATATTTTATCAGTTGTTACGGATGGCGCTCCGGCTATGACAGGGTGTCAAAAAGGTTTTTGTAGTGCACTTAAAAAACCAAATTCTAGATGTCCTTGCTGTACATTGCGTTATACATAGACATCATTTAATCGCTAGAAACTTAAGTGAACGACTATTTCAATCACTGCAATATGTCATCAAAGCAGTCAATAAAATCCGCAACAGCTCTTACTAATGACGAGGATTTTAACCGTTTGTTGTTTCATACTGAAACTGAAGTTCGTTGGCTATCAATAGGTAATTGACTGACACGATTTCACAACCTGTTTAACTCTGTGATAGAGTTCTTGGAAACTAAAGATACAGAATTGCACAACAAGCTTATTACATCATAGAATGATTAGCTTATATGACAGACCTATATAAATTGTTCAACGAATGAACTAAATTTGATTAAAACAAAAAAGTCGTTGCTGCTTTTGCAGCCAAACTGTTTCTACACAAAAGTATATGGACAGACGTGAATTTCACAATTTTTCGTATTTATCAAAATCCTGTAGTAACGTCGATTTATTTGCCTATTGCCAACATTTGGAAAACCTCCATATTGACTTTGTGGCTACACCACCAGTAAGACAGTAATAAGACTACATCAGTTAATGGAAAATTTATTTGTATATCCGCCAATGAAATAAGGAGCTCTTAAAAGAACTATTTCAACGTCACTGTCCGTATGAAACAAAGGAGAAAGCAACGCAACAAGTGCGTGTCAACAGCTGCGCGCCACATGTCAACCTTCCGCAACGCAGTCACCCGCACGCTCACCCGACGCCTGGCAAAAAGGATCTCGTTAACTCTATGCCAGCCTTTATACGCCACGTCACACGATCCCTCGTCCCGCGTCTCAGTCCCTTTCCCTTTCCTCTCGTCACTTTCCCCTTCCATTGTAAATATTGTAGCTTTCTCGCAATTGGTTTAAAATGTACATTTCTCATTGGTTAAGTTTGTATTTATAATTTTAAGGAATTTTAATTGGTAAATATTATATTACGTTTTATTATAAGTAGCTGTAAGATTTGTAAATAAAAGATTCCATCCTTCCACCTTCTACGGAGTTTTACTACCCGACGACAAGCAAGCCTACGACCCGATCAGAGTTGCCAAAACTTCATCGAACGATATCAGGACATTTTGAACTTAGAAATACCAGACTGGGTGTTGGATTCGTTTTCAAATGTCAATTTTCAATGTCACTTCAGCTGGAAGAAGAACTTTTAGTTAATTTTCCAAATTTTAAGGCGCTAGTTATTTCCCTACGGAGGAATCGTCGCAAAACTATAATTATTACATTTTTAATTTGACTGATAAATTTCAGATGAAAATAAAGTAAAGCTTACTTACGTGCCAGGAGCAGTTTTGTACGAGTATGTTGGAAATCAGAAACCCAGCGCTGACGTAGAGTATGAGATAGGTGAAGAAGCCATTGATTCTGAGCGTAAGTTTGTTTAACCGCTATTGTTTTAAGAATTGGTATAACAAAACAGGTTATACTACATGGTTGAGATTTTTTGGTCATCATTTTATTTACTTATTCGTAATATAACATATTATATGCCATAGACTATATTATATTACGAATAAGTTTGGTTTTATCATATACATTGCATATTGTAGCTTCCTCGGGCGATACAGAATCAATTAACATATCATCTGATTCAAGTACTTCATTAGAAGAAGAGTTGATCTTTAAACAAAAATCTAGTAAGAAATCTAAGAGGCCTACAACAGCTACCATTAAAAATAAAAACGCTGGTGAAGTTGACACTAAAAAATCTGCAGAAAAAACAAAAGTAGAAGATTCAAAAAACAAAACAAAGAAACAAGGTGATTCAGAAAAGTCAATAAAAACGAGTGAGAAGCCTGAATTTGGTAGTAATACGAACTCAAACGACCTGAAGAGTTCGGAGTCAAAAAGTTATTCTGATAATAACGTCAGTAAAATGATTTCACAAAAGCCGGAAGTTTCAATGAATGAAACAAAGAAAGTAGGTGACATGAAATCTAAGAAGAGAGACAATATCGATGACCATGGTGGGCAAAATAGCAAGGACTTAGATGATTCACATTTAGTGTCACAAGACCAACAACGTAAGTATTAGAAGACTAACTGCCAGTACCACAAACGTTCATTAAGGTTTAATGACGCCTTTAAGCTCTAATGAATGTCAAAGGGTTTAGCCGGATACGTATGACGAGTCGGCCCCCAAATGGGAATCGATATTGAAACTTATGTTTTAATATCGACTTGATGTTCAAACACGATTTATGTACTTTTCGCGACCGACTTCCGCTTTGACCTTGAGATAGAGAGCAAAATATCCGTATGCTTGACTATTACTGAATGTGATATACTCTAAAGCTAATTAAGATAAAGAAGTGAAACCAACGCGAGGTGTTAGGTTACATTACAGAGTATATCATATATATTTTTTTATAATTTTTAGAATAAAAAAATACATTAAAAAAATAAAAAATAAAAAAAACATGTTTTTTTTCTGAGTTCTCTGTGACTTACAATCACGAAATTAATATATGTTATGCTCTTTTGTGTGCTCTATTACCCATAAAAATTGCGTGAAAAAAAAGTTGGTGCAACACAACGAAAAAAAATTATATGTGATTTCTGTCTTATGGTATACCCCTGTATTATAATGTTTTCACATTACATCATTGTTTTTTTTTCGAAATTTCACATCAGCTTGTTTTAAAACATAAGTAACTAGTCTTAAGAGATGGGATAATAGTTAAAAAAGAAATGAAAAAAAAACAGCCAGCGTTCAATACTTATTATTATTACTTTTTCGTGTCTATCAAAATACAAGAAACAAAATATTAATCATCGTCACAGTTGTAATTAATTACAATCGGAACACTTTGAGTCGCAAATAACTTAGTTAGGACCTCAGCAGGACGTACGATTTTGGAGAAATATCATCCATATGATAGATAATAAATAATAACTGCTACATGAGAACAGCATCCCACTGTACGTTTGCCATTGGGGCAATCACAGCAATAACGAAGAATACTATTGTAGTCATTACTTTTGGAAATATAGTGAATGTAAATTCGATAGACTTTTCTATTTATATGTCTTGATTTTACTTCTGCTTTGATGATATTAGGTGCTGATTTCACATATTGTACTGAGAGATTATTTTGATCGTCCATTATTTCGGCCAAGTTAAATGCTGCACATTTAGAAGTAGAAGCTTTTTTGTTAATATATGGGATAAGTCAACACTTCTTACAAAAAATATCATTAACTATTACGATTTTATTCAAACAGCCACTAAACACTTTAGCTTCTTCTTCATTCTTTATAATTTTTTTATAACCTCCTGGTTATCTTGGTTATCCTGGTCTCCTGGAATCTTACACAGGTACTTGTTACAATTTTTACACTTTCTCGACATTATTACTTAATAATGACTTGGTTCGATAGTTAATAATTTCAAAATGCTGATACAAAATACCTATGATAGAATTTGAGTCCCAAACTGCCTTCTTGTGTAATACAAATGACTGCTACTTTAGCTAAACAAACGATGCAGTAAACAGCTCGATAACAAGTTCGAACTTGTTTGTTTATACACTCACACTACAAGGCGCGAATCACATATAATTTTTTTCCGTTGTGTTGCACCAACTTTTTTTTCACGCAATTTTTATGGGTGATAGAGCACACAAAGGAGCATAACATATATTAATTTCGTGATTGTAAGTCACAGAGGACTCAGAAAAAAAAGATGATATTTTTTATTTTTATTTTTTTAATGTAATTTTTTATTCTAAAAATTATAAAAAAATATATGTGATATACTCTGTAATGTAACCTAACACCTCGCGTTAGTTTCACTTCTTTATCTTAATTAGCTTCAGAGATATATCACATTCAGTAATAGTCAAGCATACGGATATTTTGCTCTCTATCTCAAGGTCAAAGCGGAAGTCGGTCGCGAAAAGTACATAAATCGTGTTTGAACATCAAGTCTATATTAAAACATAAGTTTCAATATCGATTCCCATTTGGGGGCCGACTCGTCATACGTATCCGGCTAAACCCTTTGTATTGGTAACGTCGCTTTAAACTAATGAAAATTGTAATGGACGTTTGTGCAACTTGCTGTACAAGTTAATAAATTTTCTCTTTATTTTTTAATGGAGTTTAAGCAAAATATATCTGCGTGATCGTCTATACATCTTAAATTTATTATTTCCAATCGTACTTTGTAACCGTTTAACTCGAAGTCACGCTCAGGCTGTACCGAGATTTTCAATAACTTCCAGTTTACACAAAATATATTTTCAGAAGGAACTAGTGTTTCAAGCTTAATGTCATCATCATATGAAACCATGCTAAATGTCGACCGAGAAGAAGCTAAACAGTCCATCATAAACACAATTAATTCTTATGAGGATAACAGATTTCCATCGCAAGGTAATTAAGGAATAGAAGATATCAATCGTAACACTGCGACTATTTTCTTAAAATCAAAACTTATCAGGACATTATACTTATTTTTACCAGTGCGATATTTTTCCAGGTGTAAATTACTCGGACATGACATCAAACGCGCGTATAGAACAGTCGGTCGCGTCTGAAATTCTTAACAGGACTCTAGAGTACGAGGAGCGCGAGTATTTCAGACAGTTTGACGCGATGACGAGTCAAGCGGGCAATATAGATAACAAAACCAACGCCATCATAGAACGCCTATCAGACTCATTGGAGAATGAGTATACGGTGAGCGCAGATGTACCTACCTGTTTCACGAAATATGACTGCAATAGGTTCTATTTAAAAGAATTTGTAATACTGAGAGATATCCATTTTAATACAGATGTACGATCCAAAATAGATCTATTTCGAGCACTGGTTATGAGTAGACCTGGGGCAGCGAGGTAATTGCAGAGGTTAAAGGGATAATATTATTGTAGACGGGAGTGCATAGATAACTTTTTGCGTATGGGGTATTATATAACAAAACAATTGTCTTGTAACACAATTTAACCTTTCAGTTGCCTGAGGTATCCCGCATTTTAGAGGCCCACATGGAGACGGCTGAACAAATGTGGCGCGCGGGCGACCTCACGCGCTACGTTTCAATAAGTCCTACTGGCTCTGTGCATGAACACGACGATGCAGAGTCTACTTTAGTACCTAGTACAGACGTTTCTTTTGAAGACACATTGATTGAAGATAACGTCAACACGACTGCTCTCACAGAAATCGACGACTCCGGCATTGGAGTATCTTTAAACGACGATGAAACCGAAATAAACGACAATCCAATTGGGATTATCTATCACACAGATGCTGAGGGTGGAATGGAAAAAAACTGTAACGCTAGTTGTAGTCCTACAAATAATGAAAACAATCCATTGGACGACAATAACGATTCGAAATTAGACGATTACGTATCTGTTGTCGGCGATTGTGAATTAGCTAATGAAGTGTTCGAAGATTGTGAAGATTTGTTGGAAAAAGCTGAAAATGTTTGTGATGTCGACGCGGACACTGCAGTCGGAGCCGATTTTGATCGATCGAATGAAAACTTTTCTTTGGAAATGAAATTGGCTTTAGAGATTGACAGAAACGTGACTGATTGATGGATTTTTAAAATTAACAAATACTTTGTTTTTTTTTACTAGAGCACATGGGCGCAACCCCTATTTAGTATTCACATGTTGGCATGTCGACTGATGATTTATTAATTAGTGTAGTGTTACGTTGTGGGAAGCACGTCATAAACAATTTTATGCACTATATAAATGCAATGCAGTATCCATGAGTCATTCGCATACAAAAAAAGTCCCATCTTTCGATTCATAAACAAAATTCAAAGCATGGAGCATTGGCTACGATATGTTTAAGGTCACATATCCCTATGTGAACTAAATTCCGTAATTCGCCATATAAGGTAACATGTAAAAAATATATGTGAACTTGAACGCAAGTAGTACGGCGTTTCTAAAGAACATTTTTTTTATAGCAGAATATTTTCTTTTGTTTATCTTTAATTTTAATATGGATTAGGATAATGTTTCATTTTGTTAAACCATTAATATATTATTGTTAAAAAAAAAGATTATATTAACAAACTAAAATTTATTTTATAACAATACAACTACAATACATTAATTTATTGCACCTAGTTTAATTTGTTGTAATAAAATAATTAAATGTAATATAAAAATATGGTTCTTTTCTCTTAAAACTATTATGGGACGAAAATACTTTACAAACATATTTACACCTTTTTACACCTTAATATTTATAGATACAGATGCATCTATTAGATAATTAAACATCATACTTCTTAAATGTTAACAAACAATAAACATTTAAACAAAATAAAGTATAGTGGCGTAACAAGATGTAAAAATATGAGAGGTAACAATTTGTAAGCTGCGCCACTGGTTACTTTATTGGAATATTGCTTAATGCCGATCGTAGATCCATCACGTTACGCGCGCACCGGTGATGGTCCTCATCGTACGACTTAAAATTCTGTCATTTGTCACATTAGAATATATAACGAGAATTCGGCGCGCGCATGCGTGCAGTAGTTCATATGCTTGCATACAAAGAATTCTATTTTGATTCGCGTTTTATCCTAGTAGATCTGCGATCACCTTTAATCACTATCAATAAGGGGAAACTCTCAAAATTGCTAAACAAAGACAGACTGTTTTGAAAGAGAATATGATTACTTGCAAAATTAAGTCTGTTTCTTGCATGCTTTGCTACTTGCTAGTGTGATATGTCAACATAATGAAAAAAAAATGCTTTGGTTTTCCTTCTTAAACTATTTGATTATACCTACTTACATAGCATATGAAACCTAATAGTAGCACAATAATCTCAATGGCAAATAACCAGAGGTGGGAATTAGGTAGAGTTATTTATGTACTTGCATCGAAATGTTGATATTAATGTGGACCTTCGTGGCAACATCGCGCGTATTGGTATTTTGCAACTTTGGACATCCGATGTCATTGATGTAAGTTTGGCAACGTCGTGCGTGCTGTAGTTTAAATTATGTAAAAGTAAATAACTTTTTATTTAAAAAATCACGGGACTTTTTCTGCTCTTTAAAATTAATCTCGGGATTTGAGGCATATCCACTTTATTCTTTCGCTGTATGAAATCAGTGTAAGTACATGAATAACTCTACCTAATTTCGACCACTGCAAATAACAGAATACACACAGAAACGATTCTGTAGATACAGTCGACGTCATAATAAACGTTGTATGCTGCCTGTTTGTCTTCCAAACATTAAATGAACAGTACCTTCCAACTATGAGGCGCACGCAGAATCATCGTTAGCGCAAAGCAGAGGTAGGTTTTTTATATGTAATTTGGTGCGTTTCCAAATGTAATATTCTACCAAACACATGTCTGTGAGATAGGTATATTAGTTGTATCTTAACAGTTGTTTCACTAATTTGGATCACTTTGTATATTTTTAACGTCATCATGAGGACACCTCTTAATGATACTCTCTGCTAAGTTAATACCGAGAACTTGTGATAAAAATGTGTAAGTTTTGAAGCGGTTGATTGACCCAGGATGTGGCAGTGCTGGTGGCGTACATCACTTCGTACTCTGTGTGGAGGTCGAGTGGATATTGTGACCGTAGTTTGTTCTATGTCACATAAAACTTATCGTTAATTGTAGATTTGTCCAATCCAATGTCAACCAAATCGAAGCAAATGTAGTTAAGCGATAGGCCTGCTGGTGTTTCCTCACGTGACCTCCGTATTGGGTACTAAGTGATATAACTTTACTACTTCCACATACTGAGGTATCAATAGTTACAAAGCTCTTGCACATGTTTTGGCACGAGCTCTTGTACTATCAGTAGTAGTATTATTTGTAAACAATCTATTAGGTGATAAGTAACAAATAAACTTTGACCTGGTAAATAAATTATTAAATTATATAATTGTATAATAATAGTTCTTTCTAATCATAATAATATAAAAAGGACAGACTTAAAATTAAGTAATTTGATGTGATGCATTCAAGTTCTTACTTTGTAAAATATATTACTTGTTTGACGTGTACTTACTTAGTATAAAATAGACAGCCTATGCTGGTTTTCTTATCAACACTATTATAATATGAATCGGAGGATACAAGTAGAGACGGGCGCCGCTAATTCTGGGGCTAAATAATCCTAATAACGTTTTTATAATCGTTCGTTATTTATGTGCCCGATTTGACGAATATACAAAAGATAAAAATATACTATAATAGTAAAATATCAACGTAGCTAAATTCGCGTTATGGGATTCACAGAATAACCACATAGTAAAATCCGTGTTTTAATAATTTATTTTTTGTAACTATTACGAGCTCATATATTATTATAATATCCATGGTTTGATATCTATTATCTGTCGCAGTTCTAAATTTTAAAAAGCAAAGAAACTTGAACAGCTTTTATTGAAACGCATTAAAAAGAAGAAAATAAAAATTTCCCTTTAAATTTTAACGACCAACTTTGAACTTCGTTATACACAATTCATATGATAATAAAAGCTTGTCGCGCGATTTACTCGTGTAAATAAACTAGTACCAAATTAATTATGTAAAATCTGATAAATTAAAATTTTTAATTTCATTTATTATTGATCGGTACTCAAACCTCGCGACAAGCTTTTATGATGTTTGAAATTGTATATGATGAGGTTAAAAGTTGACAGTTACCATTTAAAAGGAAAATGTTAGATTCTTCTTTTTAGAGCGTTTCAATAAAAGCTTATTTTGAAAGATTTTCTTTGCTATAAATTTATTTTTTACTTTTTAGTTATTACAGGAAAGCATAACAAACTATAATAGTGCGCCATAATTGGATTTAGAGTGTAAGCATTGTCATAAATGTGTATACAGAAATTCAGCTCAATCGGTTGAAGATATCTACTTCTAAGATTGAGTTCAAAGATTCCACCCGAACAAACATACTTACACGTATTGCAAGTTAAATAAAAGCTTTAAAAATATTGATTTTGCAAGCGACAGTAAGTCCGTATACCAAACATAGGCACAAACATATAACAGATGAGGTTCAGGATTGTATAGTTTTACTAAACGTCGACTTTTTATCACTGTCATCGTGAAGTGAACTGCGCTAATAATTTCCATACCACCGATGCTATAATATTACACAACGGTACCGTTTAAAACAACAAAGGAAGACAATCATAAAAGATTCTATATAAATATTGTGATTAATTCAACTTTTCTATTAACTACAACTAACTATCAACATTTAGCACATATTAATTTAGCTAAAATATAAAGTGTATAAATGATATAAGGCATTTTTAATGCTACGTTAGAGTCATACAATATAGATCACCTCTTTTCATTAAAAACAATATTTAATACACATTTGTTAATGTCTTAAATATCTTATACATCGTAGTTACCAATTTTATTGCTTTCGATATGAACTTACGTGTACATTTCAATAAAATAACATTAACATTAACTAACGCAATCAGAAACGTCATTCAACTTTAATTTATCGTCTTTGAGTATGGGCGTTAGTTTGTAAAGTTACCTATTTATTTCTTTAAACTATATAATTTATTGTGTACTTTGGTGTTTGTGTGTTGTCATATGAAATGACGTGATGTTTTAGTATAAATGTTTAGTTAGGAAGAAATCAGATAAAATTTGGTGTGTCTTAATTTGGTTCAGTCTAATTTCAACACACGGTTAGTTTTCAGTTATTGGTCCAGAAGTATTTTCCTCAGCCCTAAGAGCATTGTATCCATTATTTATATTGGTACAAATCGATGCTTTATAAAGTAACTAAGTATATTGTTATCGGAATTAAAAAATAATTATAACATATAACAATTTTCTGTCGCCGGCATGCAGGACTAGTTCAGTGTCTGCGTAAGTAATATTCCCTATTTGATGTGGATTAAAATAGAACATCATAGAAAACAACAATCCGCATATCAATACAGGTTTATGGTATCATGTGTGCAATTGCCTGAACACGTTGCTGAAGAAAAATAGCCCATACTAATTTATTTCACGGTACAATTTCTTCCGTCTGTTTACTGAATTGATAAATCTTTTAATTAAAGCATTACAGTCGTGTACAGTTTAACTTTATTTCAATACCAAAACTACTATTTTAGTAGAATTTGCAATGCTAGCGACACTAACGATGTTTTAATAAAAAAAGCTTTTGACAAGAAAAACACGATAAAGAAAAAGTGTATAAATACGTTTTTGTAAATTAATTTACCTAATTTCATGCGGCATGGTTTTTCAAGTCGAATATCTCCATCAATAATGGTTCTATAGGATTCACGTCAAGGTACACTCCGGTAACTTCCTCCGCTAGCTTCTTCAGCTCCAATATTTTCTGGATGAGCTTCAGGAACGTGGACTTGGCTTCGCAGCCGGGATATACGCTTTCCAAATATCTTCGCAATAGATAATAGTAGGAATTCTGCAAAGAAAAACAGCATGTTATTTTATTTAATACTATATAATTGCAGTACCTATACAACTTGCAAAGATTTATGAAAGGGGAGAGGAGGGGAGCGTTACCTGCTCGAGCTTGATGACGTCGCGGTGGACGGCGCGCGGGCGGTTGGGCGTGGTGGTGGGGGAGGGTGGGGGAGGGGAGCGTTACCTGCTCGAGCTTGATGACGTCGCGGTGGACGGCGCGCGGGCGGTTGGGCGCGGTGGTGGGGGAGGGCGGGGGAGGGGAGGGGAGCGTTACCTGTTCGAGCTTGATGACGTCGCGGTGGACGGCACGCGGGCGGTTGGGCGTGGTGGTGGGGGAGGGTGGGGGAGGGGAGGGGAGCGTTACCTGTTCGAGCTTGATGACGTCGCGGTGGACGGCACGCGGGCGGTTGGGCGTGGTGGTGGGGGAGGGTGGGGGAGGGGAGGGGAGCGTTACCTGTTCGAGCTTGATGACGTCGCGGTGGACGGCACGCGGGCGGTTGGGCGTGGTGGTGGGGGAGGGTGGGGGAGGGGAGGGGAGCGTTACCTGCTCGAGCTTGATGACGTCGCGGTGGACGGCGCGCGGGCGGTTGGGCGTGGTGGTGGGGGAGGGTGGGGGAGGGGAGGGGAGCGTTACCTGCTCGAGCTTGATGACGTCGCGGTGGACGGCGCGCGGGCGGTTGGGCGTGGTGGTGGGGGAGGGCGGGGAGGGGAGGGGAGCGTTACCTGCTCGAGCTTGATGACGTCGCGGTGGACGGCGCGCGGGCGGTTGGGCGTGGTGGTGGGGGAGGGCGGGGAGGGGAGGGGAGCGTTACCTGCTCGAGCTTGATGACGTCGCGGTGGACGGCGCGCGGGCGGTTGGGCGTGAACAGCAGGATGGCGGACATGACGAGGATGATGTTCTCGTCGGAGCGCCAGCGCTGGTGGAAGGTCTGGATGAAGGCCTCGTGCGTCTTGTAGATGTTGCCCTTCGCCAGCTTCAGCACGTCCGAGCGGATGCACCCGAACTGCTCCTGGCAGTGCGGCAGCTGCAACAACGTACACACACTATGTTACGTATGTATTTATTTACAGATTCACAGTTAAATACGTAACTCGAATTAAATTTTGTTTATTGTCACTTAGCTGGACGGTGATCACTATACTGCCCTCCCGAGCCTAAACCGCAGTAACAGCAAATCGTGCGTTATTGAGTCTTTTATGTTAATATTTATATTTCAACCCTCCAAGCCTAACTTATTCATTTGTTTCTATGACTAGTAATAGTACGCTATGATTACCCCTTAATATGCAGTAACAGCTCACTTTACTGCATCATAAGTAGTTTAACAAACGATTTAGCAGAAAACTACAAGCAGTAATAGGGGGTTAAAAATAATTACTATAATTCATTTATTTATTATTATAATGTTTACACACAGACTAAATGTTAATATATGCAAAAAAATATGAAAGTAGTTATGTAAACTACTTTCATATTTTTTGGTTTAATTTGGTTTAACTAACCAAATTCGGAACAATGTAATTTATTATGTTTTTTTCAATCTGATATTTGTGATTTCTTTTTAAGTATTATATTTTTTCTCGAGTTCAATATTTGATAATAAACAGTGATTAGTTAAAGATACAAAAAAATTTAAACTTCAAACGCGGTTTTCTTGTTATTGCTATTACTTCAGTTTAAGTTCGGGTCCGCAGTATACTACTCGTAGACGCGCACACCTGCCCTGCGATTCTGTAAACCAAATCCGAATTCGAATATTCCAAAGCGGCCACTGCTCAATCTTGAATCGGTAATGAGGTTTTGTGGCATAAGTGAAGTGAGTTTCGAAATATCATAGGAATATAATATTTGACACACGTATGAAACAGAATCGCAGGGCAGGATGGCGACGATCGAGGACGAGCACCAGAAAAAAAAAAAAAAATTGCATCTAAGAATTATTGGATCTTTTGGCAAATTTTAATAATTCAAAATTTATAAAACGGTTACAACGATTAAATTAGATTGCGATCATATGAGTTTTTGTTAAGAAGATAAAATAATTGTGTTAAATTTTGCATTCCCAGTGCTATACTGAAAAATATTCTTGATGTAAAATGCTTAAAAAATTCACAGCCGCATTATAAATGCAAATCGATCAAATATAATAATTAAAACAAATTTTCATCGTTATCTACAGTTTAAATATTTGTAAAAAAATAATTCTTTCGGCTGTTTGGGTGGACTGCACTGAACATTGATGAAAGTACGCTCTGCAGTAGTAGCTCATTGGTGAGAGCAATCGCCCGGATTACAAAAGGTCACGAGTTCGAGTCCTATCTCAGAGCCTGGGACTTTTTAAGCATTTTTCATTAAGAAAGATTAAATTAAATTGTTTTTTTTTTTTTACTAATGAGTATCGAAAACAGTTACACGTTCATATTGAACTACAGGCCTTTTGCCTTTAATAAAATTGAGCGAGCCTCCGAGACTTTATTTTTTATTATCCTTATAATTTTCTCTAGTGAAAGCGAAATCGACCTGAGGTTGTATCGGCAGTTACGTCACATATACCACAGCGTATTGTACGTCTGCATTATATCGTTCAAAATCAATATACATAGTTTCAAAAACTATTATAAATATAGAATGTAAATAGAACTGTAAATAGTTAATTAATATATTTTTTTTGTAAAAATGATATTAGCGTGTTGCTATATAGAGATCGGTTCATTAAGTTGTATTTGTATTATCAATATCGATTTTTAAGCATAGATTAGATTATTTGTATGTCATTCACGCGTTATCAAGGAGATCGGTTATAAATTTGGCACATACAAAGATTTTCAACGCAGTCGCTAACTAAGTTTGATAAATTTCTTCAACATTCCTCAAAGAATGCAGTTATTCTAAATGTTTACATCGAAATGACGGTTAAAACGATCATGCTAACTATGTCGACTTAATATGTAAAAAATACATATCAATACAATAACACGAAAATAAACCCACAGACATTCTAGTGCAAAGTAAGCAGAGTCCATAAACTACATACCTTCCATTGATTTCTTTGACCGTCGTAAGACATGGTACCTCTGAGTACCATCATCTCTATGCAACCCCCTTTCAGGAGGGCTACCTGCAAGAATAATTGACATGTGATAGATGTGATACCGAGTCAACACTCCGACAAGTGTCCAGCGATATATACTGAAACTCTACTTAAGGTGTTTGCCAAACGCGTCTCAACTGTGGACAATTGTTAGTTCCGCTTAATTCTGTAAAGTTGTGTAAACTTAATATTTTATATGTTCAATCAGGACGACAATAACTTTTAACTTTAACAGTGAAAATACTCGTATCTTAATAATAAATTTAATGACAAAATTCAGATTTACGTAATAGAAAAATCCATAATTATCGATACTCGCCTGATCTTCCTCGCACATATTTTTGAAGGCGTTAATCTTCTTAGCCATTTTTATAAATCTCCTTATTGCTACCGCGGTAAGGTTCACTATCGTGATCAAACGAGGGTCGTGTTTACCGTCACCACCCTATAAAGTAAAATTAATTAAAAAGGTTCACCTATATAAAATTTCAATCAAAACTGTATACCCTAATATTTGAGTCCGGTAGATAAGGTATACGGAAGCTATATTTTTGAACTTGTAATATTTATTGAATTACCCTAAGTTTCGCGGTGTCTCCGATAAGTTGCGATATATCATCATCTAGCGGTGTGTGATGAGCCTTATTTGCGACTATTAATTCGTTCAATTTTGCTTGCTCCACCTGTAACAAAATGTAACAAACCCGTACAGACACGCAGGCGGTCTAAATATATTTTCCGTTTTACATTTCAACTTAAATTATACAAGACTAATGGTAACTCGCTGTATTCCCATAAAGACAAGGTCGAGGTTGCCCTATAAATGTATTACCAAAAGTATACTGTTTTTAATTTATTCAGATTTTTTTTTTAATTTAAATAAATTATAATTTTTGTCGTCTTACATTACCCAAGAAAAACCGTTCTAGAGAATTGAATAACTAAGTGAGCTACAAGATATCGATATTCGTTATAAAATTACTTCAATGAATTAAATAAGACGTCTTTTTATGGCGCTTATTTTCACACGTAATCTGTTAGAGATCCAAAATGTAATAATGTAAATTAACTAGTAAAAACGAGTATTATTTAATAAGTATTATGCGTTATAATATAAGAGACATGTAGTCAAAAATATTTGAAATTCATTTTACAGCTTGACAAAGGCATAAAGAATCTTACAAAGTAACGATAAGACCATATAAAGAGGTGTTTTTTTTTAAATTTGCGGTTTAGGAAACAAGGTATACTATTTACGGGCGTACAGGGAGTGTCGCGGTTGTGTGTATGTGTGTGTGATACAGAAACAATAATGAGACGAAACGTCATTAACACAACAAAGAATGCCAAAGTAATACATTTATCATTAATTATCAAGTGAAAAAAATATTTTTGATTAATTTGTGATAAAAAGAATTACATAATGAATAAAAATGACATTCGTCGATAGGGAATGAGTGTTGTTGTCGTAACTAATGTGCTTTTTAGCAATTTGAACTAATAAATAAAACTTTAAAAAATAAAGATTATTCCATTTTCGGACGTTTAGAATCCTTTACAGTTTCCGCGTTTGTGTATAAACTGAGTTCCGTAACATATAAAGGTGAAATCATTTTTCAAAAATACGCGCAATAAAACCGTTTATAAGTAGTTTTATTGCGCGTGAAAAAATAAGTATAACTGACCTATATTATTCGTCTGAATACAATTCCATTATAATGCATAATTATGTAACACAGCCAAAGTATAGGTTACTGATGTACTAGAGATGCACTTAAGATTTTTTATCATGTATTTGTGAGTGACATATATACACACAGTTGCCGATGAGGTACGGAAACAACCTGCTCTAGAAGACGAATATGCTGTTATGGAGATCAGATGCAATAGAAATACTATTTTAACCACCAATGACTTTTTTATACTTAGTAATATGAATCAGTGTCAAAGTTAGCTTTTCTGAAGTTTAATCGACACGTGGTGCTGTTAATTTTGCTCTCAAATGAATGTCAATATGTGTATAATGCATATAGCACCACGTTATATTACAACAGAAAGACAAATATTTGCAATCAGTTTCATTATAAAAATCTTTTTTTTTAACCTGAGCTTATAATTGATTACGGAAGTACATCATTTGTAATCAGAAGGTTTCTAGCATAAGAATAGATTACCTCATTAAGCTCCCTGGAGGAGCCACTGCATGGATTGACAGAGGTGTACGCTTCAAACTCCAGTTTTATTGCTTCACACAATATTGATTCCATTGAGTTTGGTTCTATTCTGAAATAGGATTAGTTTTATTTTTCAACTGAATAGCTGTGCATTTACTGTTAAAATAAGTTTTAAATAGGTAGTACCCAAATTTTTATATTTGTAAAAACCTTTTTCACATGATTTAGAAGAGCCAATAAATATTTGAAAACATTAGTTTTAAAGAGTTTAACATTCAAAAGTCATCTGTATATTTATATTTGAAAAAAAAATATCTGAGGTGATAGGCTGGCCACAAACTGGCGACATTTGCAAACCAGACCAGTGTTCAAACACCTCAGCTGACTATTGCACCATTGATTATATCAAGTATTTATTTTTAATAAGGAAAGTTAGTTAAATATTATGTTTACCTTTCGACATCTTGCAAGATATCCCTTGCCTTATTCACATCAGGATTGCTGCTAGTGGAAGGTAGCTCTTCACAGATGTGCTGCATCTTAGGACTGGAATATGTCACTGTATCACCGTTTGTTAATAATGACCTGTAATGAAACATCACAGCATTTCAACAATCTTTTATCTAAAATTTAAATTGACTGTATTGCAATTGGTCATGTTTTTGTGCAACTGAAATTGAAGAGTAAAATTTGATCATAAACTCAATTTCAGCAATTATAAAAATCCATTTCATGGAATTTTTATTTCCCAATTATTATAAACCATTATTATAGAAAACATGTTGACTGTTTATATATTAGATATTTATTTGAATTTGCTTAATAAAACACAAGCATTTTGTGTTGTGTACATCACATGTTGGAAATTCTGTCTTTCTTTTATAACAGTTTTCTTTTTTGGTTGTAAAAATAAACTTTAAATTCATTTATATATTGAGTGTAGTTTGTAAGTAAGCATTAGCAAATATTGTTTATCCCTCAAAAACTATGAGGCACATTAGGCACATGACTATTTGATTCCTTTAAATTAAATTATCAATATCACCCTGGGATGTTTATAAAAAGAATTGAGTTTAAAAACTACAGCCTTGTAGTATATATTCAGAGGTCACATAATACAATTTCAAAGTAACCAATTGATACATAAAGCTATTAAAGAGTATTTTATTGTTAATATTTATTTGGGTACAAAACTTACCTTATACTGTTTTGTTTAGGTGGATCTTCATATAAATTGCTATTGTCTATAGTGTCATACATGTTGTAAGTTTCTACATGTGCTCTATGATCATATATTGCTCTATTTATTACTGACTTTTCATCAATAGGATAAATTTTCGTAGGGTATTGTTCATTACTCTGCACACTTGGTACTGTGGCATAATAAACAGGAGGAGAATGCAATGAGGAATCTAAATCGTTGCTCAATGGTGACTGCACAGTTGTACTGCTCGGACTACAAGTTGTACTATTCAGTACATCATACTGCACTACGGACTCAGGAGTATGTTGTGAATAACTGTTAGCTTTTACATCTTCATCACGCTTTGACATTTTAGAACTAGACACAAGGTCCTCTGGTGAAGGATGTTGACGTTTTTTCGCTCGGTTCTCCTCTATCTTTTTTCTTTTTTCTGCTTTGTCTTGCTCAGACATAATAAACTCTTTTACCATACCGATAGAGAGGCATTTCGCTAACCGACATTTCTGGCAAAACCTCCGAGTTACCACCGTAATTTCACAATTATTCGTAAAGGGACACTTGAATTCTTTACTAGTTAATGCATTTCGTCTAAAAAATGCTTTACAACTCTCACATGATATGGCATTGAAGTTGTAGCCGAGGGCTTTGTCACCACAAACAAGACATATTTTCTGCAGGCCAGCGGGAAACTCCTTTTTTATTGAGTTACCATCGTTTTTTTTAACACTATTCTCATCATTATTATCCATTTTTAGTAAACAACATCAAAACACTGTAAATTAGGTTTATAGTAGAAGAAAGAAAAATTGGTCTGAAATGAGTTATCACTTGGTTTACATACTGCCAAATTTAGTGTAAACGTTCTTGTTGTTCAGCCAATGTCGATTGACAACTGATAGATAATATCTAGCGAGTTTCACGTAAATTATTTAATAATTCGTTACTATGTGATGATGGATGACTAATGTCATTGACTGATTCGACTGACGTTAAAGCGACGTTGAATGTCAATTCAGTGCTGCCAGGTTCATTCGAGTGTTGCGATTAACAGATAAAGAAATCATTTAGATTATGATAAAGGTATGATGTCCCGTGATGGAAAGTATTTATAAAAAACGAAAGCACTAAAAAAGCACCTCCACTAGATGGTGACTCTAGCAAAAGTTGAATTTTGCAGGAAACGAATGGACCAAAGCCAGTCATTTCCGTTCCTTTTAATTAACATATTAAAAAACCGAATTTTGAAAAGTTCGAAACTTATAACACAAATACGAGAAAGTACAAATAGAATATGAATTGTTTATATAAACTAAATAAGAAACATAGAAAATAAAAAAATATGAAAAAATAACATTTACTTTGTAATAACGCCATAACATTTTTTTAATACAACAAAAATAAAATAACATAACAAAAAATAATGGGACATATTTATTAACAGTGAAATTATGTTTACTTATCGTAAAAATAGTACGGTTGCGTAGTGGATAAGCGCCGCGGCTTGCGAACGTTGTCGTTAAGCAACTTTCACAAGGGTCGGTCACAGGATGGGTGACCGAAGAAAAAATATATCGAGCCACTCCGTGCTTCGGGAGGCACGTTTGCAGTCGTTAATACCCTCCAATCCACATTGGGCTAGCGTGGAGGGTCATGGCCCATCCTCCTTAACCATCCATAAGGAAGGCCTGTACCCCTGCAGTTGGGACGTAAAAGGGCTGATGACGCTGATGATCGTAAAAATCATAATAGCAGTTGCTATTTTGGTCAACCATAACAGGTAACAACAAAATTTATCAATAACAAACGAAACCAACAAAAACATAACACATTTTTTTTTAAATTGGTTAGAAAAGCATTTAGTTTGTTAACAAGACGTGGACCATCCCTAGATGTGAGGAAGCCTAAAAATGTGAACTTATATTTTCTCCACAATTTTTTTTCTAGCTAACGATATTTTATAATGAGATTGAGTAGTTTTGGAGCTTTTTCTATGCAAACCAACAAATAATCAAATCGTTTCTCCTTATAATTATTAGGTAGTGTAGATAATTAACAGTAATGAATTCTTTTTTATTTTTAGTTCCTGTGAATACTAATGAAGACTTGCATTATTTTGTATTGCTTTAAATATTGACATTACTTTATTCAGGGCCCTAAGGTTTCGATGGTAACTAACTGTATGAAACTTTGCTAACTCCCGTATTATTTTTTCTTTGCGACTAATTTATTTGCCATTACATTAAAAAATGTTAATATAGCCGTTTGTTTTGTTTAAAAAAACATATTCCTTCTTGTAACAAGTTTGAACCAAAGATCCAAAGGATACTCATTGAAAATATATAGTTTGGTAAGGTTTTCATTGATTTCTTTTTTTTTTAATTAATTCACGAATGTTGTTTGTCAAGCCAATATAAGTGTAATGGTTTTCCTTTTAAATTCATTTTAAATAGATATTACTGCCTTGACGTTTGAATTTTTAACAACAACTGTTTAGAGAAATAATGCACTAACCATTGCACCAAAGAGCCCCTAATATTTTATGGTAATTGTACAATATTTTTTTAATTGTACAATATCTTAGCAAAATTTTTTTTTCACATTGCACACAGAGAAGAGGACTTCTTATTTCTTATTCCAGATAGATAAAATTCGTTTAATTTTCTTAATTTAAACTGATGTTTTTATTTTAAACAAAACAAAATAATACATTGATAAATATCCGAGGTTCGGGGCGTCCGATACCGATGTTTCAGGTCTGCAACCTGATAGTGATGGCTACCTATAAGTAAGGTGTATTTTAACTTGTTAAATACAATATTTTATGTAACTACTCAAAGATTGTTTACTTCGTAGCTGAGTGGTTCGCACGCCTGTTTCAAGATGTCGCCATCTCTGAGGTCCCGGGTTCGACTCCCGGTCGGGTCATTATAGAAAAGGGTCTTTTTTACATTGGCTCGAGTCTGAATGTTTTTTTGTTACCTTCGTTGTCGCACATACTTCATAATACGAAGGCTTTAGCTACTCCTCTTGGAATTTGATCAATGTATGTGTAACTATATAATGTAAATAAATTGGAAACTGTATTCTAGCATGTAGAACTTCAGACAAAAGACTTACTACTAATATTTAGAGAGATCATTTGTTATAGTATCTGAATGACCAAACTTGGGTCGGTATTTGTTTCAAATTCTAATTCATTTATTTGTCAAATTTTTGTGTATACAAAATCTGCCTAGTAACCACCATATTACATAAAATGTCAGATTAAATTATGTCATGAATTCATGAATAATAACTTTAATTAAATTAAACAATATTATATGAGACCTAGTTCGATCGATTTATCGTCGCCAAAACTCCCTGCATATCAAATTCCATGAAAATCGTTGGAGCCGTTTCCGAGATTTAGAGTATATAAAAGTATTACAAGAATTGCTCGTTATTTAGATTTTAGAGGTACTAAGTAAGTGTTAGATTACACAAATCCCTTGTACACACGGCTGCCCGTCAGGTTACCACAATATGTCAAATTCGTGCAATGGATTTTGATCTCTATAGGTATACCTCAATAGGTATATTAACTTTTATTTAAATCGAGTGGGGAAAGATAGTTTTATTGGTTTTGTATAGTCTGACGTGCAGTCGACTGTACATTACAATTCAGAATTGATTCTAAAAGTTTCGTATTGGTATTTCAATTACGTGATTAAATTCTTGTTCCTTCAATACAATTAATATATTTAAAACGGAAAACAAAAGCATTGATGACATAATAAAACACGTTTCATTAGCAAACTCCGAAATCTCGAGTCAGCTAAATTCAAGTCGCAGTCAGATTTAAAACTTAGTTTTAATATGATAAAAACCAGAGCATTGATTTCATTGTAGTTTAGGGGCGATTCATTTATTACGTAAGACTATTTTCGCTAGTTTTTGACCCCTCCCTCCCTATTATAAGAAAAAATAAGAAAAGGCCGACCCCCTCCCCCCCTCTTTAATATTTATTACGTAAGAATCTGAAAGAAAAATAATACTGGTTTTGGGTTGTTTTAATGTTTATTTTTCAAAGTAATAATTTTTAGAAATCTTTTTCTGTACTTACAAAGGTACTAATAATTTTCATTTATTGGTAGTTAAAAAAAAACTTTAGTTTCATAAATCTTTCAGAAAATTTTCAGTCCAGGTACTCAAAACCCACTCTGAAAGTGTATCTGCCACTGGAACATCTCTAATAAAAGGTGTTGCTTCTAGTTGGTCATTCAGGATAGTGACGTCGTTGACGTCCATCCATTCCACATCAGCCCCATTTGCTGATCTTACGTAAGAACTATCGAGACTCCCTCGAAACTCCCGAGAAACAGTTATTGTTATAATATGTCAATATTTTAGATTTAATCGTCGTGTAAGTAAATGATGATTAGGAAAATATGCGTAAAGTTTGAAACATTAAAAATAAATTATAGGTATTACTTTTTAGGTATTAATTTTGTAGTGGATGAGTCATTAAGCGTCATCCACTTATCAAGTAAGACGATTCTTGCCAGTTTTTGACGGGAGAAGAGTCTCACTTTATTTAAGGAAAAGTAAGAATCTACTTACCCCTATCTATAGTTTAAAAACTATTACGTAAGAATTTAATGGATTTTTTTTGTTCATTTCTCTTTAATACTTTTAACATACTTAAAAAAAAAAAAGATTTTGATTTTGTTACGCGATTTCTAAATTGATTAATTTTTTTTTAAAAGTTTATGGGCGTAAGAGGTTCTCATAAAACTTAGTCTCTTACTCGCTAGTTTTTAATAAGCCTAACATTACCCTTTCCTCCCTGAATCTTCTTACGTAATAAATCCTTTTAAACTGTAGAGTTTGGACCCACTCCTTTATACCATCTGCTAAGTGATTGTTATTAGTCGATTTCTTTCTTTTCTAAGATATAAAAAATACCGTCAATGTCATGTTTTAATTTTTGCTTTTTAATGCAAGTCTGCTCTGATTTTTTTTAAATATAACGATATCTTCTAAAGTACATGGGAGCTATTATTACTATTGTCGTTTTAATTAATGACCCAATTTTTATATTGACTGCTACATTTAACTCTCGCTCTAATCGTTAAAATAAATGTGTGCAAATGTGCACCCGCTCAATTGAAATTAGAAATGGATCGAAAGTGGTATAACGTATTAATATTGTTAAATGTTGTGTACGTTGAGGTCTTCTGTGAGACATACAACGTGCAAATTGGCGGGCAACATATAAACGTGGTCGATACAAAGTTTATGAGTTTCACAGTGGATCCTACTCATTTATTTTCAAGCGTCGAAGCCTTCAATAAGTAAGTTTTAAAAGTATTTATAGTTATGAATCTATCAAATTTATGAAAAATATTATTTTTTTATGTCGTGCTTATCGTATGTATTGTGTTTGTTTATAGAGATTTTACTTGCATGTAGGTAGTTATGTATTGTGTTTTATTTAAGGTACTGTTGCCCAATAAGGCCCACTGTTTAGATTGCTGGAGTACTGGAGTAATAAAAACCCTGCTGAAATAGCTTTATTAACATTCTTCTATGTTTAAGTATAATTGAGATTATTCTGGTTGGCTTTTGTCACTTAGCGGTGAAAAAAAGTCTCATTAGGCGTTAGTACCTAAAGCAATTGTTTATTTGAATTACTTATAATAACGTAAATTACCTTTAGCTTATTGAACTTAAAAGGAACTGTTTGAGAAAATATACATTTTTTACTGAATACTTACGGCGGTAATTTTTGTTTAATTTTAAACTATGAGTTTTTGTATTAATATGTTTTTAAGGTATCGTATTAATAAAATTTAGATCAGCTTTATTTTTGAGTATATGGTTATTATTACATGCATTAATCTAGTGGACAGTTGAAAAGACAGCACACATTAAAGTACTAGGTACTTGTTTGTTGTTGGCATTGAAATGACAACAAAAGGAAAGCTTCGACGAGTAAAGATTAGTTTCGGGTTCGCAAGATACTGGGTTCGATTCCTATTGAGTGTGTTCTATTATATACAACGTGTCCCAAAATTCAACGATAAGCGGGCGCCAAGAGGTACCCTTGCTCATGTGTACTTATGGAAAAATAAGAAAAAAATTATATCTAATCTTTTTTATTATAAAATTAAATTCGAAAATCTTCGAAAATTTACACCTTTTATGATATTTTCAACTACCACGACCACAACTTCTCAATTATGTTCAATCTTTTTTTGGTATCGGATACCTAAATAGCACTACTATTCGCTACAACTCTTTCGAAAATTTTCGAATTTTATTTTATAATAAAAAAGATTAATAAGATATAATTTTTTTCTTATTTTTCCATAAGTACACATGAGCAGGTCTACCTCTTGGCGCCCGCTTATCGTTGAATTTTAGGACACGTTGTATAAAGCAATTTTTATTGCGATTTCAGTAAAGAATGCTCGTGTATGGCCTCATTTCTAACACCGGCATACCTTCGTATAGCGGGTCCGTCGACGAGTCACACCACCTTTGAAAACACCTCCATCACCATAGACAAGATACAATACGAAAAGAATGAAAACTTTTTTAAAAACCTACTCGGAAAGCGAAAAAGGCAAGCTCCATCTAGGTTGAAAATAACGAATTTTCAATGGCGGGAATTTATAAAGTGGGCGAACGTGACTGGGTTCGATATAGTTTTTGCTTTGAACAATGACGAGAAGACGTCTTCGGGTCTGTGGGATCCTAGTTCGGCGTTAACTGCGTTGACGTTGGCCAAAAAAGCGAATATTGAAAATATAGTCTGGCAACTGGGATATGGTAAGTTACTTTGTATGTAAATAAGTCTATTTACTAGGTATAATTTGTAAAATATAATGGACACTAAAGGCAACACTTTGTGGTCGAGGCCATATTATGTGATTTTACAACCACCGTGATTTTATCAAGAGTTATGTAATTTTGTTGGAATGACGTAATAACATATAAATTGGTCTGTATGAGCTTCTAAACACGTGTGTAAAATTTTATAGATGTATTTTTGTAGGTATGTATGTACATTTGTCCACGGATATCTTGCAAATTAGAGGTCGGATTGCGATGATTCTTGTTTTGTTTAGTTGCTTAGCTTTCAACCTAGGATATACTACAAGTTATCAAAACCATTTCAGTAATTTTAAAGATTTCCTCAAAAACCTCAAAAAAAATTGATCTCAAAAAATATTGGTGTATCCACATTTTGTGTTACGATTTTATTCAAGATAAACATTTGTAATATTATTTTTCTCTTTTAAGTTATTTCTCTTTATTGCGATTTTTGAAGTCGGTTTATTTTTTTAAAATTGTTTTTAATAATCTTATAAATAATAGTAGAATAAACTGTTATGATGACGAACACATAATATTAATCGATTTTCTATCTGTTTTGCAGAGTGCAACAATAAAACCATCGACGAGTACCTGAATGACCTGGAGACTGTGCGTGTGTTGATGGAGACGGTGCAGGGGGGCGGGCGCGCGGGGGGGCCGCGCTGGCGGGCGGCCGGCGGTGACGTCACACGCTGCCTCACACAACCCGGCGACTTCAACGATTACATCACGTTAGCTATAGACATGGCCGACGTACTCATGCTCAACGGGTGAGTAGCTCTTGTATTATGGAAAATTCAAAGTAGTACCCGTTCAAAGTTCAAATCAGCATCCTCCCAAGGTTGCCTATCTCTGTACCTACTAAATTTCACCGCACATGTTTTCACGCCTAAACCGGATCTGTGGTTTTGTAACAACAAAACAGACAGACAGAGTTATTTTCGCATTATAATATAAGTAGGGATAAGACAAGTCCTATAAAATTGAATCGACGACTGCAGATGCAACACAATCCATTCCTTAGGCGTAACGGTACTTATGTATGTATAGTAAAAATGTACATTGTTAAAAAATAACTAATATATTATCACGTGACCTACAGGACCAAAATAACTTCGCTGTTCATTATTTTATGTTGTTATTGACTATTGTAGCACCAAACTTTAAAATCATAATAAACATACAATCAAATATATAGTACCCAAATCTTTAAACTCAAATTTGACCCACTTCCAATATCCGACAGACTTGAAATTTTGTAAAGACATGTAAGTCAGATGACAATATTATATTATGTTATCAGTAAGCTTAAATGGTGAAGTAGGAAGGTGGTCATAGGAACTTAGCAATGAAATACGCATTAGCATCGTGTTTGGGCTCTTTTGGTCTGTCATTATGAGATTAACATATATTGAAAAAATTAAAAAGTAAAAATATAATAAAAAAATTTAACTAACTAAAACGTAAATAATAATATTATGAAAATATTTGCATAAAATTATTATTAACGTTAGCGCAAAAATATAAGTTTGTTTTTAAAAAACTTTAATCATATTTGATCAATTTTGTATTCTCAAAACTATACTGAAAAATATTTACAGTGAAAAATGTTTAATAGATCCACTTTGTCTCTGAAACTGAGACATTGTTTGAAAATGTAACCTAATGTTTTTATAGTGCGGTAACGCAATACTTTTATGTATTTTTATCATTTTATGTATGTTTTCTTTGTCTATTTAATAATAGCTTTTCATTAGAAAGTGTAGCAGGTAAACCGATGCTACAAGAAATGCAATTTTTTTTGGGAAACTTGTTCTTTTTTTCAATCGGTATATCGTTTATTAATCATTAATTGAACGACGCCGGCGCCATTTGCTGATTATACCATATGAAGAAAATCTATGCATACATACTACCCACACCATACATAAACAATACCCACGGACACGATAGCTTAGACCAGTGATTCTCAACCACTGTGCCGCGGCACTTTTGTGTGCCGCCAAAATACAAAAGTGTGCCGCCAATAATAATGTTAATATTATTCAATTATATCATTTAAAAGAAAAATATTTTTAACATGAATATATATTTAAATCCACAAAAAATAAATTATTTTATTATTTGCTTTGCAACGCGTTTTTTCTTAGTGCCAAATTATGATAAAGCGGCGTGCATAGCAATAGGAATATGTCTCAAGTCGGCGCACACTTGCCACTTCTGCGTACAAAACGTGTTGTTTTAGTGATAGTTGGGATTCACAATGTGTTACATAGTAATTACTGCACCTTTTCTTTCGTTAAAATTGGCAAATGTATGTGATTCGGTTTAATATTAATTTATTTGCATGTAGTGTCAATTTATAAATTTTGTAAACCAAAAAAGCTTTAAACATATTTGTTGGGAACTCATTTATTCTTTCTTTTATTATTTAAATATAATACAACCATAGATTAGATATGTGGCCTGCTACGTCAGTGACATGGTCGCCCCCGGTGTGACAACACAATAATTTAGGGTCATCGACGTAACAAACCACACTACATATGTAAATAAATATTAATATATAATATTATTAAGCTGGTAGGACAACTAGTTTGCGGACAGGACGACGCAAAATTCCAGCCTTAGTGGCCACTTCTACTACGCGGACTACGCCACACTTTGTTGGGAACTCATTTATTCTTTCTTTTATTATTTAAATATAATACAACCATAGATTAGATATGTGACCTGCTACGTCAGTGACAATATTATTACAATTTTCCACATCTTATTTGTGTGAATTCGGATTTTCAGCATTAGCCAACATTAAAACTAAAAAAAGATCAAGATTGTTAAATGTAGAAGACGATATGAGAGTAGCATTCTCATTTTTACGACCAAATATAAATGAAATTATCAAAATACATCAAGCTCAAATTTCGCATTAAAAACATTTTTATTATTAGCTTGTTATTAATCCCTTAATAAACGTATAGTTTGTAGTATATATTAGTTTATTTTGTATATTTAAAATTTTTGTCATAAATTATATATTGAGTGTGTTGTAGTAAGTAAATAATTTTTATCTTTTTCTTTGTGTGCCGCCAAATTTTGAAATCGTTAAATATGTGCCGCAACAAAAAAAGGTTGAGAATCACTGGTTTAGACCGTTTCGAACCACCACGAGCGCGAGTGTCGTCGACTTTAGGCACCCGTCAGTGAACTATGAGTAGCTTTAAATGGATAGAAATATATTTGTCAGCGATGATGACCTATAATCATTTACAATTACAAGAAACTCACGTAGTGAGTCACCAAACTACGTAAATTGTCGTATAATATTATCTATTAAAAATTTGTAAAAAAAATATTAGTTTATATTTTCTTTTGTGCATTATTGAGCAGAAAAAACTATCCTATCATACTATCGCATTAGCGAGACCACTGAACGTAGGTATAAAAAATTAAGTACATAGATTTGATTGCCTTCTGGTGTATTCTGTGCCCGCAGACTGGTGCAATAAGAGAGCAAAACTAGTATTTATTTAATTGCAGAAACTCTACAACTCAAGAGTTGGATGAAATGAGTGAAAGAGATCGGTTGAAGCTATTGACATCACTCCAGCGCAGCTCTACCCCATTGTGGATCACGGACAGTCCGCTGTGGACTGGCGAGATGGAGAGGGCTGCCGATTGGATGGCCAGCCTGGGGTACTCCGCCAGAAATGGATTTTCGGTGCATTTCAGGGAATTGATGACTGAAGAACTATACGAACCGACTCTGGTAAGTTGTTTACATAAGGGTAGATATTTAAATAGGTAGTTATAGTTTTATTAGTAAGTACCGAAAATCGGTTGTCAACTGTGATATGGAAGTGCTTTGGTATACTGAATAAGTAAAAATATTTGCTCGATATAATTGGTTTACAATTCACGTAGATATCGGTGAACATACTTACCTATATAAAAATATACATACTCGTTGAATACAGAAACTCATTTCTGATTTTGATTAAATGCGTATACATATACCTACGCTATACTTCGTTTTTTTTTTCTCAACATGTCTCCTCAGTGATTTGGTGGTATTATATAAAATGCTTGTTTTGTTTTGTTTACAAAACTAATAATTTGATTTCGAGATATTTGTAATAGAGCATTTTGGGCCCATAAACTGTCTAATGAAAAATCGGTCACTAATTTGCGTAAAAATAAAAAACATACATCACGGTCGAACATAGAATATTCTCTGATGATGGGTCCTATGATTAAGGGTGTCTGGAAGAGATCTACGGCCTCAGTAGTGATCCACCGAGACGAACAAAACAAAAAAAGCGTCAGAGCACTACCTACTTTTTTCGAAATGCTTCGTCGAATTTTTGAACCCTCATAACTTACGTTCGGTATACATAAAATTTTAGGGATGCAATCCCAGTAACAAAGTTATCAAACATACAAAGTTTCAATTGCATAGCTATTATACTTTTGATTTGATTGATATCGAAAATCCCCCGATTTCTGTACTGTGATACAATTTTCATTGACATTACAAAAATTAAACAGATGAGATATAATTCTATAGCAACATCGTTCACCACATCATGATCAAATCTAACCAGCTTACCAGCTCAGCACGTAAAATTTTTCAAATAATTCTTTGATTACGTGTGGTTAGAAATGAAATCCATAAAAGTGCCTATCACTAGAATTAAAGTCTTACAATTAGACAGAATTATTAATAGTACTTTGCATCGCATTCAACATACTCGTATATTTTTTGTTAAATTATGTATTTATTGGTTACAAAAAGCAGAGAACCAAAACAAACATAGATAACAAATATTATACTTTTTTGACAATACATTCATTCATATTCTATTTATCTTCTATCTCTATTGATATACAGAAAAATACTTGTTGTTTGAAATTACTAGGGCTATCGGGCATAGGGAAATATCATCAAAGTTTTATGGCACAAAATAAACAACAGATTACAATTTAATTTATATTTACATATTTTGGCTAAGGTGTAAAGTTTGTAAAGTTAGGGTTTGTAAATTTATGGTGTGTAGAGTTAGAAGATTGGTTCTACATGAGATCTGAAAACTTTTTGATAGTGTGAGTCATATGACGAGATGTTTTGGCAATATTTTACATAATAATGTTTATGGTGTCGCTATTAGCCGTAAGGCCAGTTATGCATATTTTAACTATAAAATGTTATCTATCATAGTTATCTATTATATATATCTCCTTTTCGATTTTGAAGTGGATTAAAAAGATGTAAAATTTATGAACTATACGCGCTGTTAACAGTTTATTGGTTGTTTTATTACTGCATACGCATATTTTTATAACGACAATGCTATAACGTATCGGTATAACATTTACCTGTCTCCTGTGGTTGATTCCAAGATGTCTTTTTACAGAGTTTCTATATGGCACTTTTGTATAAGAACTTGGTGGGCGAGCGAGTGTTACCCGTACAATTCAATACGTTACAAACGACAGTATTCGCACACTGTACATCGCTGCGTCAGAAGGCGGTGCCGCGAGCGGTCACTCTGTATGGAGTTAACATGGAACAGAAACCTACCAGACTCGCTGTCAAACTTACACCAAGGGAGGACGGTGGGGAAATAATGCAGTTTATACTGAACCAGAATGACAGCGGGTGAGGGAAAATTAATATGGTTGTTATATTTGACCAATTTTGCATTCACATAGCTATACTGGAACTTTTTGGCACAGTTTGTTTATTACAAAAGCTTAAAATTAAATTGACACGTTGTTAACGTTCAAATCATACCTATACTTTATAAGAATTACACAATCAAGAATAACTTACCTAATTCAGTTATTTGAATAATTGTTTTTAAGTTTGTTGACGGGTCCAGAATAATCAGCATGTTTCAATCGTATAATTATTTGAGAAATAATTTATTCAATATCTTAATAATTAAAATTTACTTATATTTCAGGGATATTGTAGTGAACGGACGGGCTATGACCAACGAAGGTGACATTCGTCCAATTCTTAAACGAGTGCGTCCCTACAAGACTCTTCTTATTAATTTACCGGCTAAATCATTCGGTTTTTGGGTTCTGTCTAACACGAATATTGCGGCTTGCCAAGATATCGACGACAGTGATAAGAAATTTGTTCAAGCCGAAAATATTAACTTAGATGACATTGAGATAGAAAAGAAAACGGTCAGGCGAAAGCGTTTCACAACAATCGACGATTTCAATGATGAGTTTCTAGAAGCTGATTTAGGTGATCTTGATAATAGTATAGACACCGTGCAACTGAAAGATATGATAAAAAATTTAAATGAGGAATTGAGGAGCGCACAACATTTTTTTAAAAGACACACGTCAAGAGTACGGCGTCAAGTGAACGATCAAATCAAAGGAACAAGAAAAGCAAGAAGGCAATTGATAACATATAAAAAAGACAATAAATATGACGATGTCGAAAGTAAACCAATTTTAAATTTATTAGGTACTTTGTTGCAGCTCACTAGAAAAAATAATACAAGGTTTCTAAGAAAACCCATGAAATTACATAGAAGAAAGACTGGAAGTAGATACCATTACGATAGATTGCAAAATGAAGAGTTTGTTGAAAATAATAAGGGTATTAGAAATAAAAGAAATATAATAGGTGATCAATTTCAGAGAAGGTATAAAAGTGAAGAAGATTCCACAAAAGAGAACGAAATAGATATCGAAAATAATAGAGATAGATATAGAGAAAGTAAAAAAATTAGGAACATACTGAACGGTATCCAGAAGCAAATGCAAAATATGCCTCCAGACGCTTCCGATAATGATACCAAAGATAAATCGAAGATCAATGAAAAAGTTATAATTAAAACTGAACTAACGGATGACAGTGCTACCATAAACTTCAGTGAAACTCCTGGACATGGTGTGATAAAAACAACATTCGAAAATCTGTTCTCAGTATTGGCTGAACTAAATAAAAATATTAATAAATTTTGGTCAGTATTATCCTTCTTTGAATGATTGTAAAATAAACTAATCTGTTTACCAGTTAAATAATTATAATATTTATTGATAGTGAAATTTAATAATAATGTACTCTAGATGTTAATGGATAGATGTAATTGTAGAAATTTCAATTATTTGTAACTACTTTTATATTTTGTATTATATGTGTGTCCCTTTCTTACAAAAATAAAATAAATTTGTAAACATTATAAATAAACTCTTTATTGGGGAGCTTTCTATGTATGTAAACTTACACGATGTGCGTATAATCTCTGATATATCATTTTATAATAATAATATTATGGACAGTGTTTTGTGGCACATGAGCAAATATCTCAACTTGGTTTATTTTTCAGTGTGCTAGTTGTGTAACGATACTCAGTGCCATACTTAGTAAGCCCCCGGGATACCTATTTGAGTTTTTTACGTTTGTTCAGTTATTTTAATTCAGTTTTTAACCGAATCGAAAAAGAGGGAGTTCTGTGTTCGACGGTGATGTAAGTTTTTTATTTTTGTTTTATGTGTGTCTCCGATTCTTCCGCTAATTGTTGATTGATTTTTAAAATTTATCAATTGTATTCAAATCAAATTTAAACAGCTAAAAGTGTTTCACCAAATACCCTTAAACTACTTAGATGATTACATATTCATTCCCACGACTTCACCCGCTTAAATGACAGTCTATGTTACCCAGGTTTGATCTAACTTTCTGTTGGTGAGAGAATCTGTAAAATCGGTCCAGTAGTTGCGGCCGGAGAATTCTCGATGTCAACAAACAAACAATCAAATCTCTCCATCTCTCCTCTTTATAACCTTAAATATTGGATTGGAAGTATATATAAGTATCACGAAAAAAAATGGATTATTCAAAAAAAAAAATTTAACTGACTGCGAAGGTTTTCTGTCGGTTATGAGGAAGTATTAAAAAAAACGAAAGCACTAAAAAAGCACCTCCACTAGATGGCGACTCTAGCAAAAGTTGATTTTTGCAGGGAACGAATGGACCTAAGACAGTCATTTCCGTTTCTTTTAACTAACATATTAAAAAACTGAAATTTGAAAAGTTCGAAACTTAGATATCAATACAAATGCGAACAAGTACAAATAGAATATGAGTTGTTTATTGAATTTTGAAAACTAATTTACTTTTAAACTTGAAAGAAAACCGGAAAGGTTGTCATGGAGATTTTAAGAACGTACCGTAGCGACATCTAGTTTGATTTCGGGAACTAATGTTTATTTTTAATACTTTCTCATTAAAAATGATAACCGCCAGACTTTAATGGCAGTTTCTTGAATAATGGAATCGCTTTTAAGACTGGTATTATTTCACACATTGAAGTTTGAAATTGGTTCCAATAAAAAAATTATAACCTTTACCTAATTCAACCAGTAATGGTTTTTATTAGGGTCAAGTGCGAGTATAGCTTGACAGTCGGGTAGGTACTGTAACGTCCGTGCACATTACTATAGGTAGGTTCATTTCATTGCGCCACCCATCTCCTATATTCCATCCAACTGAACGAAATATCAGATATAAAAGTAGCTTCAAAGAAATATTTGATGTAGCTATTTATTGTGCTTAGATGTACTTAAAAAAATGTGTTATTATGCATTTAAATACGCATACCTAACTACCTTCAGTAGCAATATTATAACATATTATGAGACTTTGAGTCAACCCACAGCCGAAGCGTTGATATAGTTTTCTGAATTTTGTACGGAAAAAAAAAATTAAAATCAACATAAGTGCAATATCAGAACAAGTGTAAAACTTGTCGTGTATTTGATTGTACAGCTACTGGTAGTAAGTATATTTATTTTTTAGAATAATATTTTCTATCGAAATAATTAAATTTTGTTTTTGTTTTACAGGCACTATAAATTGTTGGTATTTTTGTGCGCGCTGTGAATGAACTCTTCAGATTTGATAAATCGCATTAGGTATATATATTTATAGTTGCCAACGGTGATCTTGCGCTAACCAATTACTGGTTGTCTATAGGTATATATAAAAGCGAAAGGTCACTCACTCACTCACTCACTCACTGATCACGAAATCGCAGTTTCAAATTTTGCTCACTAAGACGGGATGGGATGAAATTCAACCCCTAAGACGGTAAATTTTTATAGAATTTTCTCATTTCTGAACTTAAAAGTAGATGACGCGGTTGAAGCCGCTTGCTGAAGGCTAGTATTATATAATGTTGAAATAAAACAAAGTGCTGGTGGTACAATGTAGTTTATTTATTATTTAACAACATGGCAGGTAAACCACTTTCACATTCGCCTTGCACTAGTTTATATGAAAATGGCTACCTCTAAACTTTATACATAACTAATAGGGATCCCAAAAATCAATGTAACAATGCATCGCAACAGTATGACCAAATAAGTGTCGGCGAACAAGCTTCCTACATAAGAAACTACCTATGTGACAGTACAGGTTCATGTGAAACCGAAACTAATGTTTATATCGATAAATATTATTATCGTCCGGCAGTTTTTTTACAGGCAGAATTATAGCGAACAGAAAACTAACTTATGATTAACAACAAGGTTCCACAGAAGCTCAATCCGATTAATTACCTAAAAACATTGTCAACAATAACCTCTTTTTTTTCATTTTTCATCCATAATTCTAAGTTAAATGTTACGTGGATAAACTACTAACCTTTTTCTTTTTAATAACAATACAACATATGTATGAACCACGTTCATAATAGAGATAATGTTTCTTCCGAAGTTCATTTTATCATTATTTATACTTCACTCGGTAAATTTGCAATATTAACACTAGATGTCACTAATATTAAAAGCTAACGCACTAAAAGTGTTCAATACAGCGGCTGACGACTATTCTATTCGAACAAACGGTTGGCGCATTCGCAGAAATAAAATTCATCACCATTAAGCTATTCTCTCGCTTCGTCAACACCGAGTCGGGCTGTTTGTTAATACTTATTTACTTCAACGAATGCTTTTCCATCAACACATTCAAAAATTTCATTAACATACAATAGACGACATATAAATAATCGCCGCGACAGTGTATAAATGGATCCATTTATCGAAAATAATGTCAAAGCCCATTCTAAACAGCAAAGTGGCACTTAAAGATCAGTTCGTGTAGGAATCCAACTACACTGTCTCGGTAGTAGAAAAATTATATACCGAATCGAACGAATGTTAATATTAAGTACTCTTGCGTATTTAGGTGTAGAAGCTCTTGTGTTAGTGTGGTACGAAGTGTCGTTGTCTCTAATTTCTTCTAAACTATTATAATCGCCTGATCCCGCTTATTCTGTAGCTCATTTAGTCACTTTTCATGAAATTAAAGCCTTCAGAATAAGTTTTGAGCGACGACTGAGTAACGTATGTGTCGTGACTACTAACGATAATTATATTTTCAATTTCATCACAATTAAAGTAGATATCGTGTTGGAAGATATGCTTAATGCTTAAAACATTTTGTAACTCATTTGTCGTCACTCATGTCTATATTCAAAGGTGTTATATGTCATATTTGCAACAAATCTATCAAACGTGAAAGATTCGAAGAGTTCTGAGAGTGTAAGGGTTTATATTATTATATTTGGCGGTTTCAAATATGACACGTAATCATCACAGGCTTCAATGCCGATACCTAACGTTACTTCTAGTGCAACTATCAATAGGCTAGTTTATCAATAAATTGTTTAACAAGGTATGTATTAAAATGTATAAGTCTACCATTTCATAACTCCTCTAAGGATTAAGAATAACAGTGAAAACTTTAAACCTCCTACTGTAGAGGGAGAGGAACTGGATAAATTCAAGACAAAGATCACTATCTCTTTGAAGAAAATTTAAAGAGGAAGCCATTCAAGGCCAAAAAGTCAGCCGACTTAAGTAGGTAACTAACCAAATATGGATGTACATAAATATATAAATAGACAACGATAATAGTCATAGCATATATATATATATATATATATCTGTTTACCCTGAGTATAAAAGTCATAAGATCAATCAATTCAACTGATTTAATTTTCTTGAGAAAAAATTCTAAATTGGTCACGTTTAGATTCCTTAAAAAATATTTTAAGGGCAATAATAAAAATGAATTTATATTCTGATTAACGTACATTTACGTCTAAGCTACACATCTACCTTGTATAAACCTCTTTATAAATTCATTATAATTTATTTTAATTGGGAAAATAACACTGTATGTCGAGTATTGAGGTAATTATACAATTAAGAGAGTACGTGAAAAACCATGCGGGTTGGAGATGGATGTGTCACTTGTAGGTGAGACGTTCTGAGTAACAGTGGTGGTGGTGTGCAGAGAACTTTGTTCACTTGTTCGACGTTCGGAATTCATATACATTAGGATTCTAAACACCGAGACAACATAATAATCATATTAATCCAACAAATCAACAACCATTTGATATCACCCAAATTCCTTTCATTACATTGCGCACTTAAGCAACGTTATGACTAATTACAATATTCACTATACATCGAACATCAAAAGCTTAACATACATACATGTCGATTGCTTTACTGAAGCGTCTAGTTATATGTAGATCCTTCGTTGAACACAAACAACAAAATAAAGACGTGGAAGAGAAAACGACACTGAAACACACTTCTCAAGAGCTTACACATGTTATCCAAATGTTTCATGCAAACAATTTCGTTTTCAATCAGTCGTTTGTTTTAAATTAGTGACAGTTAGCGAATTTATCCAATGTTTAGTTGTAACTAGACTCCGCTACATACCAAAATAACATTCTAAACCACTATTTTCTACTTAAATGAGAGTCAACAACGAAGAGTACAGTCTAATACGAGAGAGGCGAAGATAGGTAAAGGTTCTACGGGGTTGATTTATTAAGTAGAAGTAGCTAACACATACATATACATACGTTAGAGTAAGATTATTAGGGAGGGACGAAGATATGATGAAATAGGTATTATTAATGAATCATTGGTCGTATTAAATCATAGAAAAATCGACAGGTCTGATTGAATCTTACAAGCTATTATTGTTTATTCCAAATAACTACGAACAACCGTTTAGCTAGAAATTGCCATGCACATACATTGAACTATTTTTCTTTGTAATAATATATGATAAACCTAGGCTAACCACAAATACACTGTGATAGTTTAAAGTTACACCTTACAATTAGGAGAGATTGTGAAGATGAAGATGGACGGGTCCAATGGCTTCTACTACTGTCCATTTCAGATGCCCATCTATTTATTTTTTAGATATATAGTTAAGTGGGTATAGAAATTGTAGAATATGATAGCTATGCGTGCTCAAAATTAGGTTCTATCGAAACAAGCTATGAAAATATAGATCAGTGTGCAATAGAGTGCGAGATAATATGTCGAATCTTATATATCAGAAAATAGTAGCATTCTCAGTAAACAATCAGAAAGTATTGTTGTATCTGTCGTATTTACATAAGTGTATATTGAATAATATTTTACGAACTGATATTGCAATGCGTCAGGTGAGGGTAGATATAATTGACCAAAGTTGAGTTAACATAATATGCAATATATTAACATAATAGTGTCACTTAACTGAGTAGAACAAATCATGAATTATTAAGCATTATCAAATTATAATTAATATGTAAAATTAAGTTAAACTATAGTAGAAATACATGATGTGCTGTTTTGTATAAGTCAGGTTGAGATGGATAAAATCTACAAGAAAGTAGAATACGTGATAGAAGAGATGGTGTAGATGAGGTATTCATATATATATATAATTATGTGATTAGATTCAATGTAGAAGGAGCTAATGAGAATATTGAGAGAGCGCGAGCGGTCAGGCCGCATCCGGCGCACAGCGTTAGTTTTATTATTCATATATCACAGCTTTTGACGATAACAAATCTTTTGCATTTGTAGCTTAAGTGGAGTTAATCGTTCGAACAATTAGCTCTGTTCCATGCTGAACGGCGTCAGACCTGCGCCAGCGTTTGTTCACCGGGCTCAGTGTAAGTGTGTCACGTGGTGTATTTTGTACCGTACCTAGATGATGTCGATGCAACATAAGCAGGCTCGCCACCACACCAAAGGGCTATAATCGCTCGAAGAATTCGCTCACACGATGTGTTAACTTTATACCTAAGCGTAAAACATCGATAAAACATTAGATTATAAACCACGTCGCGTCAACTACGCTATTGATTCAACGGTAAAACAACAAGAAGATTGTTATCTACATTTCTTTACACATTATTTACCTCTAAACGAACATTGATCTTATTATTAGACATGCAGAACAAAATGGACGTTACCAAATCTGTAAAAGACTCTACTATATACCGCCGGGTCTTCTCAGATTTGCGCCGATTTAACAATATATATATATTGTACCTATTTTATGTTCGATGTGGTCATTAAGGCTAGGACGATAAGTGGTATGTACACCTAAACAAAATACACTGACACAATATCGATTCACACTGCATAAGCACGCATGCAAAAGATTTAGAGGCAAAAGTTGAAGAGTTTATTTGAAGTGTGAAAATTCAGCGAAGAGCGAAGCCACGTAGTCACAGCGCCCGCCGGCGCCGGCGCCGGTATCGGACACCTTACCGGACCCGTGCCGGACTGCCGGCGTTACCTAGTAGAGGACGTCAAGCTCACGGAATTTGGATGAAAACAAATATCAGAAATACATTGTTATTTCAATGTAAGTTTAAACTTCCGAAATAGACGAGAATAGATGAGAAAGTGTCGATTCAGTAACACAGTCGATTTTGAATACCTACACGCGTGCTAGACTTTCTTAAAATACGTTTTCCTTTCTTTAATTAATATTACACCGTTTTTTTTCTAGTTGTATTTATATTAATTTCCTCATTACACTTAAATAACAATATATCACAAGCGTCAACATATAAAACTGGATTGTTTCACACTCTCGTGCGGTGTTTTGGTGTTCAGGTGACTTTTTGACCTTCATTTGAACGCGCTTCTTTAGTCGTGTGTGTCCGAGGGCTGCTCTCCAAATTTTTTTTTATTATGAATGTATAAAAATATTATTGCTCATTATCAAGCACCAACGCGCCACTAGCCAACTACAATATTTAGAATTCGAATCTCTCCTACAAAAATCTTGAGCGCGAATGATACCGTTCCCGAACGTAATACTTTTGTCTCATCCTTTTGTGGGGGGAATTGGGGAGGTGTAATGGTGTGTATACGGGTTGTGAAACATCGTCATAACAATGATCTTAGCAGCTACATCATGTATTCGGGTAATGTTATGATAGTGCGACGCGCGGGCCGTGGCCGCTCACTGCATCACGCACTTACTCTCGATCTGGGACTTTAGTTCGTTCACCTGCGTTTCAATGGTGTTTTTCAATTCTGAAATCAAAAAAAGTTATATTAACATATTAATGAAGTAAAATGGTAAATTTAACTGTTCTATATTCCGATTGGCATCTTCAAATATTAATATTTATGTTGATGATCAAAAAGAAAGACATTTAATGTTTAAACTTTCCTTCTTTGAGTGCAAAAATTATTTTAAGGTACTAACTAGTGAATTCATCCTGGTCTTCTAACTCTGCTTCCGCAGCGAGCTCTTCGGGCGTCTTCTTCTTCCTCATCAATGGATTGTCCGGCTCCATCGGCTGTTGTTCCACCACTTCCTCTTTTTTAGGGATTTTGTACTGAAAAACGACAAGAAAATATGTTTAGTGTTAATTTTGGCAATGACGAGACTTTACCTTGACTTTTCGTTTGGGTAGACTCAAGTTATGTCCCTAGGAAATATTTTTAAGTATTTTACTTTATATTTCATTGTGAATTTAATAACATACTGTGTTACCCGCTAGACATGTGTAAACCTTTACTGAATCGACTGAGTGCGTCAGTTCAGCAAAATGATGCACTGATCCGAATCTCAAAGTTCGCTCCGAATGGATCAGTTAATATAATGGTCAACGAGAGACAATGTTCTGTGCCGCTCTCTGACACGAATGATCGAAAGAATAAACTGAATAGAATCGAGCGACTGATCGGAAAGATTCATGCGACATAGAACAAATGAGCGCACTTGTCGGCCAGCCAGTGGCTATATTTGTTTATTTAATACTTTGAAATGACTTTTGATTTGGAATCATAGACTGTGTTCAAATTTATAATTTTATAAAGTTATTATATATTTTAATTTTTGCATTCACAATGCTACACTGGAGAATATTCTTTATATAAAATGCTTAAATGATCCACCAGCCCCAGTTACTCTAATCGCTGCTGTTGCTGAGCTAACCAGGACCTAAACGCAACAAGTGCTTGAAAAAATCGTCAGTCCTGTTACTATTTAGTGATTAAAGCAGTCGCCCGGATTTCCAAAGATCATGGGTTCGAATCTCATGAATATCTTATAAAGTGCTTTTCTCCGTGGATTAAATTGCATTAGACATGTGTATGGTACAAACTAATAGAAAATAATAAAAATTGTTGTTTTTGTTGTGTGAATGTTCAGTCTTAAGCCTGGACAAAGTATGAAGGAGAATCGATTTGATTTTAAGTTTACTTTGAAACTTCTTTTTATAACAAAAACAATAAGTGTTATTTCTATTTATCTTGGCACCAGAATTATTTTATTACATTTTTAAATCAAATATTCCAGCGGCAAAAAGCATTAGGTATAAGTAACACGAATAAGTATTTGCTCTCTGCTTTTGAATCTATCTGAGAATCGATGATCCAAATGAAGCATTCATTAATTCGAATCTTTACACTAATTCGGATGCAAATAATCCAATCTTTAGAAAGATACGTTTTAAGCAGTATTAACTTTATGTAATGCAGCAAAATTAGTCAAACGAAAACAAGACCCACTTTTAGTATAAGTTTGAATAAAATGGCTTCGCAGTTCAATACAAGTTATGCGCATTAATATTTCGGCGTAACCCGTCGTCAACTTCCAAGGTCTCATGTTACCGTTCTGATTTCCCAATGGAAGTCGTGTTCGATGATCAAAAGTCGTGTTGCCAGCAAATGGATTGGTTCTTTTAATGTAAACTCTAAGTCTCTAAATCCCTTGCGATTTTTATTTATTGCCCGACCAAGCTAAGAAGCTTAATTATGAAATAGAAAATTACATCCAAGAGAATTGTAGTAATCCTCTTTCATTTTAATCTCCAATTGAGAACATGCAACCGGCCGGGCTCGGTGTGGCTGGAGAGGAATTTATTTTAATTTTAAAAGCATCTTTCCCGTCGGTATCCCCTGAGATCTCATTAAGGTCGTGCCGTTTCAATAACAAGCTAAATAAAGACAGAAAGTCTTAAAGTCTTCTTTTTAAAGATTAGTGAACGTGATCTTCCTGTGGTTTGGTTGGTTCTTAATTGAGCTTCAGCATTTTGATTAGGTCATTTAGAGTTACGAGTTCTTTCTTTGAACCATACGGATTAGAGATAAGAAAGTTCGTAAATGAAATATTAATGTTGCATTTAAACTAGCTGACCTCATGCTACTGACATACCCACGAACATCATTTATCTAATTATTCACAACTTTAATTCTTCTTTTTTTTTTTACAGTAGCTTTCGCACATGCAGATTTAGAAATTTTTATTATAATGCATTCCGTAAAATTACTACCCACTGGTTACCTACCTGTAACATTATTATAATTTATGTTATTTTGTTTCGGAGCGCAACCCTGGATTAGTATAATGAAAGCGGACATGAAATATGTATTAAGAACAAAATTACCTACGTATATTGTTAAACATTTTCAGTTCGTTGTGTAAATTAAATAACGTCGAGCAAAATTAAACGATGGAACATGCTGAAACTAATTAATATTTGTGAAGATCCTTCATACTTAATGTTTTAATTGTTTATAATAACTAAATAATGTGCCTACGCATAAACAACATACAGTCAAACAATAAGGTAGTGTTGTGGGACCCTAGATAAACTTATATAATATTGACGATTGAATGCTATGTTAAAAAAAGTTATAATGATATTAATAATACAAAATCTGAAGGCTATTAAAATATGTCAAGAACAAATTTGCCCTATTTTAAAATTTTTGATAAATATGTCAATTGATAAAGGTATAAAGAAACGGGAAATGAATAACGGTATCAAACAAAAAATGAATATAAAAACAGTTCGTATGATTACCTAAATATATAATTACAGTTATTAAATAAAACGAATGCATACCCCGTTTCTGGGTTTTCGGTAATATATAAACTTGGACGATATTTCACGAAGATATACTTTTCTTATTTAAATTACATCAATTTTCTTATTTAAATTATAATCACTTAAATAAGATTTTTTTTCTATTTAAATTTATATGATTAAGATGATTTTTTTACGAAATGACATTCATAAAGAGCATATTTGATTACTCAAAATTTCAAATTACGAAAGGTGAATAATAAAAATAAATGAAGTTGTATATCAAAGCCAAAAAGTTTGCATGCTGAAACCTAGGACGAAATAAACGGTGGTACGACACACACGTTACGCTCCATTGTCAAACTTTGACATACGAAAGGAGATACAATTATTTAAAAAAAATATCGGCCCATTACACTGATACCAATTTTATCAAAGTTATATGAAAAAGTTATACATAGCAAACTAACATCGTTTTTTAATAAATATAATGTGCTAAAATATCAACATGGCTTAAAAAAAATAAGTCTACACTCGCGGCCTTTAACTTAACGAAATATTACAAAGCATTAACAAAAGTAAATATGCAACAGCTCTTTTCTTTAATATGTCAAAGGCATTCGATTTCTCATGAACAACTACTAAAAACTATATAACAATGGTATCAGATGTACAGATTTAAATTAGATCAAAATGTAGGGGAAGTCCGGGCAAAGCGGACATCTTAAGCTTTGAAAGACTATGGAATGTGATCTACTAGACATAGAAATAAAATAGTGACGGAATATGAATCAGTCTTTATTAAAGTTTAAAAGAAATCAACAAACAAAAACGTAACTTAATAACTTTTCTTAAAAAAATTGATTAAATTGCATCCTTCGCTTCTATCCGACTTGCCCAACCCATCGGGTAAAGTGGATAGTACCAAAGGGCAAAGTGAACACAATCAGACTAGGAACAATTACGAATAAAATATATAGTAAAGATAACAAAAAACAAAACAAACTGTAACTAATCACTTATCAGTACAGTTATCACAAAGAAAAATGCCTTTTCCCTCATATGCTGTGCATTTCTCGTGGCTCCATTTCTTGCAGGAACTGCATTGGATCCAATCATCAACTGGCTGCCCATTAACTTCAACATAATTTTCCCCACAAAAATAGCACGTGCAGTTTTCGTCATTTTCTTTAATTTAAAATTTCTTAAGTTTAGTGTTTCTCGCTTCAATATTTTTGGTTATGTTGGTCTTTAAATTTTTGTTAATATTTTTTAATTCTTTGGTATTTGCTTTAACAAATTTAACTTTCTGTTCTCTCTTAACCGGTGTGCTAGTAAGCACCTCAGACCTTTGAATATATCTTTTTCGTGTTCCCATGGGAACGTAAGGACTTGGAAGTGGTCTTATTTCTCTTGGACTCAAATAAGCGGCAGGTAAAGTCTGATATATTGCAGGTTTTTTATTTGAAAGTAAAGTCGAAGTACTCATTAAATCTGTAGCACTGATCTCTGCTTTATTAGCTGCTGGAATGACGTGGTCATCAGTAACATTAGGTGTGCATGATCTTGACCTAGTTTGATCATAGATTTCTTCGGAGATCAATAAGTTAACTTTTGATCCAGAGGTGTGCTGAATGTCAGAAGTAAAATATCTAGCAGGGCTTTTAGAGATTTTAAATGGATCTTCTTGATTTACTTCTGGAATTATTGTTGGCGATACTCCTCCAGGCTCGCTAATTCCGGGACAAAAGACAGACTCCAACGCCGAATCATTCGTTTCTCTCATTGTTGAGGTATGAACTTGAACTGTTACACAAATAGGTCCAGCAGGATCGACCTCATCGTCACTAAAATCATGATCGTAAATTTCCGAAGCTTTATTTGGTCCACATGAACATTGAAACCCCGATGTCGTAGGCACCGCGCCATGGTCTACCGTTGCAGTTAACACATCTCGATTAGTTGTTTCATGAAATGCTGCTTTTGTATTTGAGGTATTAGGTTTCATCATTGTTGTAGAGGATGGTGCATAATCCTTATCTTCCCATATATCCATATTAATTGGCCAAATTCCTGGAGATTGAAACCCTTTAATGGCATTATTGGCAGTAGCACTTTTTAAATATGCTGGAGTAAATAATCGAGCCACATCATTACTGGGCAAAGTGGATACCATATCCACTTTGCCCGTGTTCGCTTTGTGCGACAGGTACTTTTTGAACGAAAACTAACCTACAATCAAATCCAGACACAATAACTTAATGAATATCGCAGTAATTCAACAAGAAAACATGCACTTTACGTCAATAATGATTCCGAAAGAGTAACACTATAGGCACAATAGTAATAATTAAAAGAAGTACCATAAAATATCGTAACAAATTGTGATATTATTATTTTTCGCCTTTTTTTCACAAACGACGCGCGACCTTGCGTTTGCTCTGCTTGTTTACGACTGAGGAGTGGGGGGCGGACCTCATAGCAAGCTACGGACTTGCACGAATACGCCATTTTGAAATAAT